AATTTCACTTCAAAACAGTAAGGGGGATTTTCTGTCATTTTCACTAATCACACGGGATGTTCTGTAATTTACGCTTATTAAAATTGACAAAGAAAGCCTTGAACTATTTTGGTACAATGTTCTTTTAAATTTTTAACAACACTGGCTATATAATAGCCTTTTGATCATATTTCCTATATTTCAATATTATCCTTGCAAATATGGTAGGAACTTTGAGAAACCTAATAAAAGGCTTTTCTGAATGGGTTCTTTTGTGGAGTTCAATAGATATTTTCTCTTTCAAAACAAGATATAGATGAAGAGTTTTTTGGTGTAATTTTTACTCTTGTTATTAAATGAGATATCACTTTGATTAATTCATGTCAATAGAGTGAAAAAAATGTCTGAAACTTGGGTGTTGCATCTCTTATGGTTATAAATCTGCTTAGAGATTAGATGCATCATCTATACTGTTTTCATTTTCATCTATTTCATGCATTCTTCTTGTTTTCTTCCTTTTGGTTTCTAGCTCTCACTTTGCTATGCATCCATAGCAAATGTGTTATATCATGATAACAATGATGGATGCCCTTTAATCTTATATTTGTGAATTAACAGTCTCCCTGCATCTATGGCAAATGTGTTATATCACGACAACAGTGATGGATGCCCAACCTCAAAGATCCACAACAAATGTGTTATACCATGATAACAATGATGGATGCCCTTTGAGGTTGCAATCTTATATTTGTGAATTAGCAATCTCCCTGCATCCATAGCAAATGTGTTATATCATGATAACAATGATGGGTGCCTTTGTGGTTGCAATTTTATATTTGTGAAATAGCTTGATTTTGCGAACAGTTTCAGTTTATATATTATGTATTGGATATAATATGTTGAACTAAGTAGAGAAGAAACATTTTATCTATTTGTGTCCGACTACTTCTACATTGCCGATAATCACCATATGTGCAGAATTTCTGAGAATGCCTGTAGAAGACATAAAAATTTGAATTTATGGAGAGAATTTCGAATTAGAGGTGGAGAAAAATTTAATGCCACTCTTATAGTTATTCAATGAAACGGACAATGGGAAGCTTGTTAGTTCAACTATTATTGATGTGAATGATTTTGCAAGATACTAGAAATTGTTGTTCAGTTATATGAAATAAATAGCACCTTAGTGTGACATAAATTTTATATCATAAGGGATATTAACAAATAGATGTCTTAGAAAAGAAGTATGTTGAATGTTTCTGGTTCGGAATCCATCAGACAGCCAAACCCATTCTTTATCGCCGCAAATAAAAGGCTTATCCCTATTTATCTGATGTTCTTTTCTCTAGAAGTGTATAAAACTTGTGTAAATATTTGCTGTGTATAATCTATTAAAGATTATCTTTCAGTATATAATGTTGTTTTCTTTAGAAAATCATCCATACTAAACCACATCTATTCATACTGTTTCAGGGTGATATTTTATTTCTACGCATGAGTAAAGATTCTATTCGTGCTGGTGACATAGTTGTATTTAATGTTGATGTAAGTACTCTCACTTATGTTCTATGATATTGTAAATGTCATTTAACTGTATGCTATTGTATTATATCTGCGGATCTGTGCAGTTCTGCTCTTCTTTTTATTCCGCTTCGCTCAACTCTAACATCTCCTGATTGAGGGCTTTTTGTAGATAATCACCTTCTTTAATCTTTTATCCTTAGTACTTTCATTTCCAGAACTACTATTAATACTGAAGCTGATGATACCTAAAATATTCCATTAATCTAAACTCGATTTTGACCAAATAAAGATTAGGTTTGTGTTTTTACTGATAAAAGACCATGTAGTCCTAGAATTCCTGCATGATTAATCTCAGAGACTATCTTAGGTAGGGGTGCAAAACCATATCCATACCTGTGGATATATCTGTAACCATATCCGTTAAGGTACGGATATGGTTATTGAAATCTATAACGATAGGATATAGTTATGGATATGCTTATGTAGTGAAATATCCAGATCCATATCCGAAACATCTGAGTGTATGTTGATAATATAGCTGCAGTTGTTTCAATTCTTAAATCAATGAATTTGACACTAACTTTGATGATAAAGAGATACAATCTTAGATTCTTAGAGTTCAGATATAACAAACATATTAACGAACTATCTTGTATAATATTGACTATATTTTTCCGATATTATTTCTTTTTCTCATATCCGTTTTGTATCTGCATATATATATATCTGCATGTATATCAGTATACACATCTGATTTTAGCAGATATGGATATGAGTTTTCCTTTACGAGGCATATCTGTATCCATGAATGCAAAGCGGATATGATATATCCGCGCCGTGTGGGAATCGTTTGCACCCCTAATTTTAGGGCTAGAGAAGGCTTGAAGAAACTAAATCACCCAAGATTTTGGTATTTAAGTTTCAGTTTTGGAATTTAATTATCATGTCTTCTTAAATTCTTTGTGGGTAGAGGGCTGACTAGATTTAGTTGTTCCTTTTTTTTAGTTTAAGTTTTGGAATTTGAACACTAAAGCATGTTCCTTTAAAGACATAAATTGATTTCATCATGTTCATATCCATTTATGTATCTAAACTAGTCTGAAACTAGCTAGTTCTCTATTTATGACCTGCTTATTTGACTACGGTGGTGCACGAAGGTAGGATGAAAATCAGCACAGTTGATGAAGGAAAATTTTGAGAGCCATTCAAAATCCGGTGCCTAATTTATGGTGATATTAATCCATCCACCAGTTGTGGTTGATAAAAGGCCATGACACAAGATGCTGATGAGGAGATTCGGCATTTTTAATATTCTGTTGGAATTATTTGAACTCTCAAAGTTCTTGTTTAAAAGGAGATTAATGCTTGATGATGATCAGGTCTCGGCTAATTTTAATACGAAGCATCAAATAGCTTACTTAAGATAATTCTTAATGGATACATAATGGAAGATTTCTGATAAATGTAGTCACATTATTTATGATAAGTTACAGTATTTACTGATGAACAGTTTTTTGATCTTTCTTGTCATTTGTGTATTACAGTAGAAAGTTTTCCTGTGAAAAATTTTTCCTACCTGCATACTTGTATTGTTAAAACTCCATATGTCAACTTTGCCGACCAGTCTTGTATCATATATTACATCATTATTCATTAATGATACAAGTTTATTTGGGTGCCAGCAAAACATGCTCAGTTGTTTGTGTAACTCTCAAATCCTTCAGATGTTCAATTTTAACTCTACATTATGTTCTCTTCAGGGACGTGATATTCCTATCGTTCATCGTGTAATTGAGGTGAAGATTTTTTCTATTACACTTCTAGATTCAGATGTTACACTCATTTCTCTTGGTTATTTTTTAAGTTCTAGTTTAATTTAGCTGCTTTTAGACTTCTTGTTATCATATGAAATGCTTCATTGAACAATATGCCAATAGTCTAGGGCATGTTAGTGATGGGAATTTCATTAATGTCCACATGCTGGTTGTTTATGTTATATCAATATACCTGCATTGTATTAAATGACTAATAAAAACAATGTAGTGAAATTTATGCTTCACATGTGGATGGTGGACCGGTGATTGCTTGTCGTGTATAACAATTAGTTATCTGTGCATACATGATAGAATCAGCCAGCAATAAAAACATGATTTTCCATTATATATCTCCAACATGACCCTGAACATAGAATGCAATTGGTAACAGACACGGAAATGAAGGCATGTAATGTGATATGGCATGCCATCATAGAATGAAACTAAACAATACAGATAAAACGTGATTATTGTATCTTGCATGTCATGACCTTAAGATAGAAGTTTCCTTGCTTCCTAAAGTACAGAAATGTTGATCAGACTATTGCGGCACTCAAGATGTATATCTTAGTGGTTGCTGCATAAAATTATGATTGAAGATGTGGGAACCATAATTGTCCTAAAAATTGTTTCTTTACATGTTGGATCTACGATCAAACAAAGGATACATGGATTATGCACTGATTGAACAGATTAAAAGGAATTACACATGTTTGAATTTTAATCTGTTAGAGAGGTCTGGGGTGGTTTTAATGAAATAGGTTAGGTCGGGTGTTCAATTGGACCCAACCAAACTATATACACATGTAACTGTTATGTGCGTGCATAACCCGCATGCACCCTATTAGATAGGGTGTCTGCATTTTTCGTAGCACATAGTCCTCGAACAATGTTGAGTAGCATTGCATCCAATTATGCAGCCACATAATCTATTTTCTAGAACTCTGGATACCATCATGAGTGTAGGTACAAAAAATGAATGAATATGTAGGTTTGTTTTTTAGAGTGATGTTCATCAACATATATAAAACATAAGCCTCGATTTCCCATGCAAAGAAGTTGCTAACATTCATCCAAAATCAGAGTATATTCCACTGACAGTTGATGACATTTTCAGTTGTGTTATACTAGCTTGGTCATGTATACCACATCATTTAGATCCCAGTTTTATGCAGGAGCTCATCTGCAGTAAACACTCCGGTAATCAATCTTTTGATATGATCATCTCATTTGATGACAAATTTGCCTATGAATTTGAAAGTCCTGAGTAAGCATTAAAGCATGATCATTTATTTGTTGCACGAAATGATTTTTAAATCTATGTGGTTTCCATATTTGAACTATTGACATGTAGACACATAAGTTGTGCGTGCCTGCATAACTCTTGATTTAGTTAGATCTGTATACCACCATAAGAAGGCACCTATCTAGGTGCCAATGCAAATGAGATCCTTGACAGGATGGTGGGATTAGAATTGTAAGGATGTAGAGTGGTTGGAGAGGTTTATTGAATCAATTGATATTGGCTCGATGGTAGAACTTTCTTCATCTATGTGATTGAATCTTGATTGCCACATGCAAGGTTTTAACTAGGCTTTTCTCTCAAAAAGGGGGAAAAAAGGTTTTAACGAGGCTTTTACAAGCGCACAATTTATTTGTGCTGGAATTTATTGGTCTGGTTACATAGAAGACAGTACAAATTTCCTTGATCTAGGTAAATCCCAACCTGGGTAGATAGCTCTCACTGTGTGAAGGAATTATAAAAAATGAAAACCCTGAAAATATCCAGGTTTGCTCTTTCTGTTTTCCCTAACTTACACCGAAAACCCTCTGTCCTTTAGGGTAACAAAAGAAAAGAAGAAATGAGATGATCTTTTCGTGCGAATGAGTAGTAACAGTTGAATACATCCGTGATGGTTGTATTAGAAAGTTTAGGCTCTCAAAGTTTTAAAGGATTAAATTAGGGTGCAAAAGGGTATGGATATATGTGGGTATACCCATGTCTGATAGGATACCCATAGCAATATGTATATGAAATATTAATATTCAGGCAGATAACAATACAAATATGGATATCATTTAAAAAAATTAGGATAAGGGTATAAATATGGATCCAGGTAAAATTTCCCGACTGGGATTCGAATATCCCGATATCTGTATTGACAGACTGTTAAAACTATACTGGTGTTAAATAAGTGGATCTGAAACTGATTTCGTGATGTAGGTGTTGGGAATTACGAGGCTACGCTAAACCCCTAAAATAGCAAAAAAACACAATAGAGAAAATACACCAAGATTTACAAGGTTCAGTAAACTTGCCTACGTCCTCGGGAGCCACACAGTAAATTTTTTTATTACTTAAAAAAATACAATCTTGCAAAGAGCAAATCTCAAAACACCCTTGAGATCTCTCAATCAGAAGAACAAAGAGAGAATCTCTCTCTTTTTCTAAGCACGAGATTTTCAAACTGAAAATCTCTACAATAAATGAGAAATCGCCGCTACAGTGATTCTTCTCAATAAATTGAGAAATCACCGCTATAGGGCTTGAGAAGAATCTACCGTCAGAGAAAATCGCGAGAGGAAGAGATCAACACGAGATTCTCGTGTTCTGGGTTCCCTTTTATAGGGAAACCCTAGCGACAGGCTGTCGCTGTCCAGTCTCAACCTCGCCTGCCTGGATCTCGCCCGTGCTCGAGCTCGCCTGTGTGGAGTTCGCTTGCCTCAACCTCGCCTGAGTGGAGCTCGCCCTCCTCAAGCTCGCCTGGGTCGCCTCGAGCTCACTTGTTTCGCCTCGAGCTCACCTGCTTGGAGATTTGGGTCTACACCTCAAGTCCAACAATAGGGATCAAAGTTTTAAAGTTGTCTGCATTCTTAATGGATTGTTGATCTATGATTTGAGAATATTTTTGTATCATATAGTATATATACTTTTGATTTTCATACTTGTCTCTCATATATGATATGCAGTGAGATCTATTTTCCACTCATCCAGTCTGTATCCTTTGCGGATATGGGTATGAGTTTTTTGCCGAAACATAACTATATATTTGTATCCACATCAGTGATTAGTACATGGATACAAATAAGGTACATGTTATATCTGATTCATTTGCAGCCCTAGTTCAAAAAAGATGAAACTCTGTTACTCCGTAACTACACCTGTCTAGTACGAGCCTTGGTAGACCCAAATTAGGCCTAATTGTGCATGTGCTGAAATCGTTGAATATTTTTTTTCAAGGCTAAACTTCCTTTTCATTTGTTTCCTTTCATCTCATTTCCATTTTCCTAACTGTTAGAACAATGTAAAACGCTTTCTGTTCTATTAGTTTCTTTCCTCTTCGTTTTCAATTTCCCTTCTATCTTCCTCTTTCCTTCTAGTTCTTTATTTTCCCACTTTCCTTTCTTATTTTTCTTCTATCCAGCATAGGCATAGAAGTTTGCCATTGAAAGATAGAGATAACCACTCTTAAGTGGAAAAGAACCTCTCCTCCCCTTGGGCACTCGGAACGCAGTCTTCTTGGCATTCTCGGAAGCCATCCTTATCTGGTTATTCTATCTATAGCCATCTAACAATTCAAACTTTTTGAAGCCAGCTGTGTTGTCGATGAGTAAGTAAATCCATGTTCGACAGAGGGAAGTCAATTCTTTTGGCAGGTCTTGTTGAGGTTTCGGTAGTCAATGAAGATCCTGATCTGTCTATTTTTATTGTTGGCTGGAATGAGATTGGCCAGCCAGGTAGTCCATGTTGATCAACTTGTTCACTTCTTGCACAATGATCTCTACAACCATCATGTGGTTCTTTCTAGGGGGCTGCTTAATGTGCACATGTTAGGGTCAATCGCTCACCCTTTGAGAATATACAAAATCAGAATGTTTTCGGTACTTCCTTATTAGAGATGGTTTCAGTATGAATTACTTGCTAACTCATCACTACCTGTATGTAATAACGCCACTTTTTCTACCAAAATGTTTGAGCTTGATGGGTTTGGGCTTGAGAAGTGAGAGACCTTGGATGGTTGGCTACTGCACATATATATACCAAGATTGTCTTATTTGATTAGTTGACAATAGGGAATGTAGGACTAATTTTCTGTCAATTACAATTTTAATGATTATTAATGTGATGACCGCTTAGAAAATTATAACTCATGATATTAGATATCAACTTTCATGTTTCGATGAATAGTGTGTCGTTTTCTCCCTTGCATAATTCTGAGCTATGATGCACGAATACGGATACAGGACACGGACACGGATACAGGATACGGCAAAATCCAAAAAAACAAGATACAGAGATATGGCAATTATTTTTAAAAAAATTATTATTATATATAGATGGAACGTAATACGAAAATCTCGATTTAGTATAAATGAGTAACTTTCTCCATCAGATTTATGATAATAATATGACGCTTGGCTGCTGCTCGAACTCAAAAACCGGAGGAGACGATGATGACATTGGTGGTGGTTGTGCTGGACGGGGAGGAGGAATGGAGGGTGGACTTGAGGAGTCGGAGGAAGGAGGAGTCGGTCGGCGGGATCGGGTCGGAACAGCGGAGGTGATCAAATCGAACGGGAGTGAGCTGAGAGATTGAGAGAGAGGATTAGGGTTTTTTCTTTTTTTCTTTCGTTTGAGTCAGTTGAGGATCGAATCGAGCGAGAGATTTGAGAAATAGGAATAGGTTTTTTAATCGAACGGTTCGGGTTGGATTTTAAAAACCAAACCCGCAACCCGCAACTTGAATGAATCGGCCTTCGGCGAATCCGAGCCGTGTCCGAGCTCCTTTGACCGTGCCCGAGCCTAATTTGACCGTTGATCCGTGTCCGACACGGATTGACCATGTCCGACACGTGTCATGCACGTGTCATGGTGAATCCGTGTCCGATTCGAGTCGGACATGGATTCATGGCCTCCGGGGGCGAATCCGTGCTTCAGAGATTCTGAGAAACTGATATTCCAAACTCCTTTCTCTTAGTCAAACTTGGTAGGTTAAGCCTCTGATGTCAGAGGTTGTTTTGCTACACTTATACATAGTATCGATGACTATTTTTGTGAGAGAAAATGGTGAATATCCTAAAAGCACATTGTTCAGTAGTGCAATTTAATTCTTTAAGCTGATTTTCACCCTTGCTTTCGATTTACAGATTCCTTTGTTCGTTTCTTCAGGTCCATGAGCAAGAGGGCACAAGAGAAGTTGATATATTAACTAAAGGTATCAAATATTTGGAATCAGTTTGATATAGTATCGTGACCCTTTTGTTCTCTTTTTTATCCTTGATTCTGTTATATATTTGTACTCTCATATTGGATTTTGGTAGTTGTTTCTTCATATATGGAAAAATATAAACAAGTTTGAATTTGATTAGGATATTGGGTAAATAAAGATAACCACTTCATCTATGCTTTTAGTAACACATACCACACCTAAACAACTTTATTAGCTGTTAACGACACCCTATTGATTCTTTTAGAAGTAAAAATTGCGTATAACACCCTAGAATATTTAATGTGCGTATGCTTTCGACGATCCCATTTTTCTAGTAAAATAGGGAGATAGCATGAATATGGATATACATATATGTGTGTTACCAATAACATGGAGAGGCCACAAATCTACATAGTGTACTTAAATTAACCGGACCATATATATTTGTGATTAACATGTCTCCTTTTTATATGGAAACATAAATGGGTGTTATATAGCGAGAACGTGAACATGGGACTTAGTGATTATTCTTTCATTTTACAAGATATATGTATGTAACTGAAGTTTCAATAATAGATAAAGTAACAAACAATTGCCAAGAGAGTCACACAGTTATTTAAAAAATCAATTTATAACACAAATAGAGTCATAAACTGTCATTCACACTACATTATACATAACAATCATACAATTGCTATAAACATACATCATACATGAAATTAGTACATATTCATTCAAAATACAAAATATAACTTATAGTTCTATCTTCTCAATGTGGATATACTCCAATAAGCTCATCCTCATCCGCATCCACAAACATGAGGGCTGCTAACTCAGATCTGTTAAGAGAAAGGTTGGTGACTTTCAAGAATTTTGAAGGTTTGGCCTGAAGCTTTATTCTTAATATCACGTGATATGAATACAAACTTGCCAACACACCACTCTTAGTTGTCACAGAAGGATTTAACTCACAATGAGCTGAAATTAGGCTGCTGCATAAAGCATATTTCAACAGGATCTGATATTTAACTTCTTGAGGATAAAAAGTCCGAGGAATATCAATGACACATGTACTTCGAAAGTCCTTACCGGATTTTAATTGCTCGAGCATATTACTGGAAACAAATTTACTGGCATAACCAAATAACCAATCTATGGCCAACAACTAACTTTAATGGTGAAACTGAAAGAGACACTAGGGTATGATTACGATAGATTTACTAGAGTATGATTAGGATAGTGTCGAGGATAAATTATAGGTAGAATGTTTAATGGGTGAGAAGTGGAAGATTTGGTTCTCTTTAAGATCAATGGACTGATATCGTCCAGAATTATAATGTGGTATTTTGGCATTCGCTAATTCGATTCACAATGATCACTTTATGTTCTGTAACTTAGATTAGTGCAATTAATAACTACTGTTTCATTTTTTAAGGTGATAACAACGACCTAGATGACAGAGTTATGTATGCTCGAGGTCAGCGTTGGCTTCAGAAGCAGCATATCTTGGGACGAGCAATAGGGTATGGTATACTGGGTGCTTAATTTCAAATTATCTACCACCTAATAAAAATCTATTGAGCAAGGAACCAGCATGATACTTGTTTTTGATTTATTTTTTATCTGCATTGTCCAATTAATTCAGGTGTTTTAAATACCTTTGCAGATTTTTAACCACGTGTTTACCTTTGCAGGTTTTTACCATATGTTGGATGGGCCACCATTATAATGACTGAGCAGCCAATTGTTAAGGTATAAATATACTCTTGCATTGTTCTATGAAAAATTTATGTTTTTCCTGGTAACAGCATCGTGAGTGCAGTTTTTATCCTACATGGGAGACTTCTATCTGGATCCTTTTAGATAACAGATTCTTTTTCTAGTAACTTTTTCTGATTATATTGAAGTCAGTTGTTTTGTTGCGTTCTATGCAAAGCCTCTCATGCTACTTCCTTTCCCTGATTGATCGTCTCCTAGGAGGTTACTGAATTCTTAATCTTTTTAAGATTTTGACAATCCCTGAAGTTGAGTTCACTTTTGGAGATTTCTGCGACAGTGAATTACACCTCATCTCAAGGGAACCATCTGCGAATTCCATCCACATGTCCAATCTCCATTTTGCTTTCTTAGATTCCATGGAGACTCTCAAAAGACAAAATTTATGCTCCTTGTTAATGTGAAGCATCTTGGTATATATCGCTGTTCTTCTCTAAAATTGAAATAATAATCATCTATTATGTACACAGCCACATTGCGAAGAAATGTGAGTTATGTCCTAGTGTTATTACTTATTAAAGACTTTCGATTACTGGTTAGGCTATCAACATATTCATTCATATTTAAAAAGGTAGTGTAATTTGTTAAGAAAAGTCACCCAGCTAGTTGATAATAACTATCACGTTTAACCGCACTGACAATGGCCATGAAGCTCTCCCCTTCTTAAAGCATCAAAATGCCCTAAAATTAACAAGAGATGTATCTGATGGATGACTTAATTTCAATTGGGATATATATCACTGTCAAGGTTCCTGCTCATAATTCATGTAGAATCATGAGGTTGTATTATCAAAATTGGAATCCTTGAATGGATTAAACTAAGTAAGGGATTTATGCAGAATCATGAGATTGTATTATCAAAATTGGACTCCTTGAATAGATTAAACTAAGGGTTAAGTTACAAACTCCTACAAATTTCAACAGAAGAAGGGAAAAAGTCATAACAAATTTAAGTACACTTTTTGAGACTTTCACACACCTCATCCACATTGGCTCTAGCCGCAAGTAATGGAACTAATTGCAAGTAAAATTGGATGAGGAAAAGGTATATTCCTGCCTGATTAAACATTTAAACATATAAAACCGCTAAAGTAAAAGTTGAAAGACTACTCTCTCCATCTTTATGTATTCTATTTTTGTTTGGGGAAAAACCAATCACCCATATATCCCCAAATTTTTATTTTTATTTTTAATTTAGTTCCCCCCATTTCTGTCATAGTTTCAAATTTAAATCCCCCCACCCCCCACCCCCCCACCCCCCCCAAAAAAAAAGAAAGAAAACAAAAAACAAAAAAAGTGTTAGTCATATTTTCAAATTCACCCCTCAAATCATACCAAACCCATGAGTTTACCCCCTTAGCTTAACAATTTATCTTGATCAACGGCCGGAGAGTGACCATAATGCTTTCACAGTGAAAGACCCCATACTATCACCCTAGTACTAAGTTATAAACACATATTTGAGGGAAGAGGAGAAGACAGACTCTCTCTTTTCTTCTTTATTTCTATGTATCTATTTTATACCTCGGCATGTGTATCTATTTTATACCTCCGCATGTGCTTATACAGCGAATGGAGATACAATTCCGAGTCCAAGTAGCGTTCTAATCCAATTCCTACACGAGTTCTCATTTGACCGGTCTATCTAAGCACTAGACTGGCAAGGACCTAATGACCCGCCGCCACACAATTTGGCGGGTCCACATTCCAACAGATATGACCCTTGACCATGCTCTAGACCTGACGGTGGATATGAATACTATACATATTCTATCAAAATGCTCGTATAATGTGGGGCATCCTGATCCAAGTATGATGCCTATAAGAGGGACTTTTTGGTAAATATCACGGCTCATGTGTGGTCGACAATTTTCCGCATATTATTTGGTTCTGATAGGAATGTTGCTCTGAATAGTGTGGAGGAGTCGGGGAGTATTTTCCCCTTCCATGATGGTCCCTATTTGAAGGGAAACAAGTAAGGGAAAATTTTGTTCAGGAATATGGACACGTTTGTACACTTCATCATTCTTACTGTCATGTTAATCCTAGGACCAAAATGCTTCTACTGACTATCTTAAAACAATATGCAATGTTTTGGAAAAAGAACAAAAAGTATATTATTCTTTTCTTTCTAACTTACCTTTATATATTCATAAACTATTTAATACATCCCTACTATGAGTGGTTTGTTCCATTGCTGAAAATATCAACAAAATAGCTTATGATGTATGCAGGGGACAAACTACTGATCTTAAATTGCTGTTTATTTATATTTTGGTATTTAAGTTTTGTATACAATTTTGGCGTATGATCATGACATCAATTTGTATAATGCAACTCAATGAGTGTATTGTTTAATTTTGTTGCAGTTTTTAGTGATTGGTGCTTTAGGATTGTTGGCGATAACGTCCAAGGACTAGGGAACTTTGGAGATGAGTCTGGCAATACAAAATATACAATTTAAAGGAGCATAGTTCTTTTCTTTTGTTTTTCTTTCTAACCTTCTGGACCAGAGAATATTGTAAGAGTTTTATTCTAAATCCTCAATATCTCCCTATTTATACAGATGATAAACACGTAAAATATGCATTATCTTAGTATGTTTCAAGCATGATTTACGAGCGTTTGATGCATATTTCGTGTTTAGATCGAGGATACTGCTGTTGTTTGTGTTCTTATATGTAGGTATTGGCTCAAGATTGAAAGATTTGATGATCGTTGGAAGTTTTACAAGAGTTTGAAGCAACAACAAGATTTTGAAGGCATGGTTCGTGAAGAAAATGGATGCACGAGTATGAAGAACTGGAATTTCGACCATGATGCAATTTGAATCAAGAAAAACTCAAAAGATAAAAGTTGTAGATCTCTTCAACAGGATTCCAATGCAACTTGAATCACCTCATTCTGAGGTCGGACGCAAAAGTTATAGCCAAAATACCGAAAACTGAAGAAACAAGCACAAAATCAGCAAAACAGCCCCTACCACACCCTGGTGTGGTGCAGACCACACCGGTGGCGCGGGGAATTAGTTATTTTCCAGATTTTAGGGACATATAAATAGATGTTTTGACTTAGGGTTTTGGATATCTTTTGTTATGTTCTTTTAGCCATCAACTAGCAACTATTCTAGGGTTCAAGTATTGAAGGAAGACATTAATTTCTTGTAGAAGATTGGATTGCAAGTTCTTATTTTGAAGATTTTAATTGAAAGACGGGTTAATTCTTTCCTCTCTTTGATTTATTTCTTCTTATGATTGATTTGTATAATTATTTGATGTCTTCTCTTATTCCAATCATGTGCGAGTAGATTTCTTGTCTAGGATTGGGAAAGAACCCAACTTTTTGGTGATTGATGATGAATTGATATAGGTTCTTGGTGAAAGTTTAAATCTTTGAACTTGATTTCTTGTGTTTTAATCTTGTTGATTCGCTTGATCGCCGGATTAGCAATCATAGGTAATTAATTGAAGGACTAAAATATGAAGATTAATACCGGATCTCTAGAAATTAAGCAGGGAGCTCGAACCACGAAAGTAGGCTAGATTCCTTGGGGATTTGATTTGGGTTAGCATAAGGCTTAATGGGTTTAGCTTAATCTTAATTCCACGAAAGTAGGTTAATTGAGATTAATTAGGCACGATCTTTAGACCTTGAAAGAGGCTTTAGATTAATTTAGGCTAATTCACCCTTTCTAGATTTAACCAACACCAAGAATTAAAATAATTCATCATTGAACACCTAAGTTGTGGTGATAACCCAATCTTAGTCCTTCATTATATTGAATTCCATCCGAATTAAATCTCTTCTAATTTACTCATTGATTTAGCTAGTTGAAAACGTGAAACTTGGTAGATAACCCCTAGTCCTTGTGGGATCGACCTTAATAGCTACAACGAGTCTGTGCGCTTGCGGATTTGCCTATCAAGTTTTTGGCGCCGTTGCCGGGGACTACGGTGTTAATATTGAGTGCTTACGTTATTAAGCTAGACTAGATTTTTTTTTATTTCTCTTTGCTTCTCACTTTCTTTTATGCAAGGGCATCAAACAGAATTACACGACGAAAACAATCCTGAACTATCGATGACTCTTGCAAACATAAGAAGGTCTATAAGGGAGCAAAGAAACACAGAACAAGCTACGATGAGAGATCAAAATCAGCTTCTTAAGGATTTCGCAGCTCCAAATGCTCAAGGCACACATTCAAGCATTACAAGGCCCAATGTTGAAGCTAATAACTTTGAGCTGAAACCATCACTGCTCTCAATGGTTCATCAGAATCAGTTTGGAGGAGGTGCTACTGAAGACCCGAACCTTCACCTGTCGATTTTCTTGGAGTATTGTGACACTTTGAAACTTAATGGAGTGACCAATGATGCTATTCGACTCAGATTATTTCCGTTCTCTTTAAGGGACAAGGCTAGGGCTTGGTTGCACTCATTGCCAGCTGGATCCATCACCACTTGGGATCAATTGTCCAGAGCGTTTCTTACAAAGTATTTTCCTCCAAGTAAAACAGCACAGATGAGGAACCAGATCACAAGCTTTGTACAGAAGGAATGAGAGTCACTTTATGAAGCTTGGGAACGCTACAAGGAATTATTGAGGATGTGCCCTCACCATGGACTGGAGAAGTGGTTAATTGTTCACACCTTTTACAATGGGCTCACCTACAACACACGGATGACTGTTGATGCTGCTGTAGGAGGAGCTTTGATGAACAAAACAATAGACGAGGCATACACTCTCATTGAAGATATGGCTCAGAATCACTATCAATGGGCGAACGAGCGTGCTCCTCAGACATCAAAAGGAGGCAAGTATGAAATAGATGCTTTAGACCATATATCCTCTAAAGTTGATGCTTTATTTAAGAAAGTTGAAGGTTTGAGTATTAATTCTGTGGCGTCTACTTCAATTTCATGTGAGATATGTGGCTATGTGGGTCATTCTGCACTTCAATGTCAATTAGGAAACCCCCCATCCATTGATACTTCTGGTAATGAGCAAGTTAACTATGTTAATAACTTTAATCAGAAGGGAGACCCATTCTCCAATACTTATAATCCGGGGTGGAGGAATCATCCTAATTTTTCTTATAGAAACCCACCTGGAAATCCCATGCCTGCATCTAATTTTGGTCCACCTGGTTTTCGTGCTCCTCAATCCAATTTCCCTTCTCAAAAGTCAAATTTGGAAAATATGATGGAGAAGTTTGTGACGACTCAATCAAAATTGAATGAAGAGTTTAAGCAACAACAACAAATCACGAATAAGGTGGTAAAACAATTGGCCTCTAAGATAGATTCCCTAGCTACGCATAACAAGATGTTAGAGACACAAATCACCCAATTGGCACAAAATGTTAGCTCTTCCTCTAGGCCTTCAGGCATGCTACCTGGACAACCCGAGACAAATCCCAGGAGTCATGTGAATGCTATAACTCTTGTTGAGAAATATGTGGCCCCCGCTCCTTACAAGCCTCCTTTACCCTTTCCCCAAAGGTTAGCTAAGGTTAAGTTAGAAAAGCAGTTCGGAAAATTTTTGGAGATTTTGAAAAAGTTGCACATCAATATCCCGTTCACTGAAGCTATTTCTCAAATGCCTTCTTATGCTAAGTTCTTGAAAGAGATCCTATCTAACAAAAGGAAGTTGGAAGAATACGAGACTGTGGCCCTTACTGAGGAGTGTAGTGCTATCATCCAAAACAAGTTGCCTCCTAATCTTAAGGATCCAGGTTCATTTTCTATTCCTTGTGTTATTGGTAATGTCTCTATTAACCGTGCTTTGTGTGATTTAGGTGCAAGCGTAAGTTTGATGCCAATGTCCATCTATAAGAAGCTTGGCATAGGAGATTTGAAGCCAACCACGATATCACTCCAACTGGCGGATCGATCGGTAAAATATCCGGTAGGTATACTTGAAGATGTACCTATCCAGGTCGGTAAGTTCTTTATCCCGGTTGATTTCGTTATTTTAGAAATGGAAGAAGATTCTAACATCCCAATTATATTAGGAAGACCCTTCATTGCTACTGCAGGTGCTATAATCATGTTAAAAATGGAAGTCTCTCCCTAAATATTGGAGGGGAGAAGGTAGAATTTGATTTGAGCAATGCTATGAAACCCCCTCTAACTGATAAAGTTTGTTACAGGGTCGACGTGATTGACAAGTCTACACATGAGCAACTTGCAAACCATTACTCAGCTGATCCACTTGAAAAGTGTTTGGTAAGTGACGATTCAATAAATGATGAAGACCCGGAGGTAGCCGTGTATGCTCAATCTTTAGAATCAACATCAACTGCTCCATTTCGAAATGCAAAGTTTGAAAGTCTAAAGTTAAAATCAAAAGGTTCTACTTGTGAAGAGGATAAAACACTCATAGGCATGACACTATTCAAGTTGGTGTATGGTAAATCATGTCATCTCCCAGTTGAGTTAGAGCACAAGGCGTATTGGGCTATTAAACTCCTCAATTTTGATATGAAGACCGCAGGTGAGAAAAGAAAGCTTCAACTTCATGAGCTAGATGAGCTGCGTTTGGATTCGTATGAGAATGCTCGTATTTATAAAGAAAGGACTAAACGATGGCACGATAAGAATATTCTTCGAAGAGAGTTTAATCAAGGAGATATGGTATTACTTTTCAACTCTCGTTTGAAGCTTTTTCCGGGCAAGCTCAAATCTCGATGGTCCGGACCTTTTCAAGTCCGTGAGGTTTTTCCTAGTGGAGTTGTTGAAGTTTGGAGTGAAACAACGGGAGCTTTCAAGGTGAATGGGCAACGATTGAAGCACTATATTGTAAGTGAACAAAACGAGAAAGGGGTCACTTATACCCTTTCCGATCCCCCTTCGTCGAAGAATTGAGCGCAAAAGGGGTCGAGCTCATGACCATAAATGAGCGCTTCTTGGGAGGCAACCCAAGTTTTCATTCATTTTTTTAATCTTATTTGATTTCATTTTAATTTCATTTTTTTTTAATTTTTTTAATTTTATTTTTTGGCAATTGGATTGGCACAAATTTAACTTATAGCATTTTCAATCATGCAGGTGAGAAGAAGGGAGAACATGGCATATCAAAAAAAACTGTAGAAAAAAAGGAGTTAAAGATGGAGTGGCAGAGCCTACCAAACCCAGGGGTGGTGTAGACCACACCCACGGTCCACAGGAAAACAAATTCCAGACTCCACCACACCTGTAGGCCACACCCGTGGCTTGAAAAAAAAAATTCTCCCCAAATATTTCCCCTTCTCTTTCGTTCCAAACCCCACACCCCTTCATCTTCTCTGCCCTAGCCCACACCAACACCCCTTTGCCCTAACTCAAACAGCCGCCCCTTTCATCCACCGCTGGCCTCTCTCCCCGTCATCACCACCGCGCATCATCACCGCCGATTGGCACAGAAAATGTTGAGGAAATAAAGGCTCATCCTTGGTTTGAAGGCATTCAATGGGATAAATTGTATCAGATAGAGGCTGTTTACATACCTAAAGTCAATCATGAATTAGTTACCCAAAACTTTGATAAATTTGATGAGGCGCGGTTAGAGAATGAGAAACAAATTCCATTAAGACCTGCACCAGGAGATAAGACAATTTCTTCGAAAGACCTGAAATTTGTGGGTTACACATTCAAAAATTTTAAAATCGTCAACAATCATGGGCAACATCAAAAGGCAGATTTGACGAAAAAGAAGAAAAAGGTCCCTTCTGTTAAATCTATCTTCAATGCAAATTGATGCAGTCTTTTCACGAGCGGCAGCTCCGACAGGATGCCTCTGCGCCGCCTCCTTCTGACTAGTGAGTTGGTATGTTTCCTGCACCCTTGCACTAATTTCTTTTTTTTACATTGAGGACAATGTCGATCTTAAGCTTGGGGGTGTGGGTTGTTCATGCATTGATTGCCTGTCTATATATGTCTATTTTTCTTTTATTTTAGTTTTTCTTTTGCTTTGTTTCTTAATTCAAAAAAAAAAAAAAAAAACGAAAACAAAAACAATTAGGGAAATGATCTCCTGATGATGACATGAATGCTTAACCTTTATCGATCATTGAACTAGATAGATGCTCATTAATTGGGACTTAACAACTTCTTATACCATCTTTCAGCTGATTCTCAAAGGCTTTTGATTACAAGTTAACAATATGGGAGAACCAGACTTGAATGTTCTCTTTTCTTATAGGTTTTAGCATTTATGTGGCTAGCGTCATAACCATTACTCTATTGAGACAAGAGGGGAATTAAATTTGGTAGACAAATAAAACCCGTGAGATTTTGAGCCTGAAATTGGATGCATTACACATCCAACCATTCTTTTCTTTTCTTGTGTGATATTCTCCAATGGTGTAGGATACTAGAACTTGCATTGAATCTCTTCAAGGCCACATATAACTTTTGTATGCATAAAAGGTGATTGAGGCACATTTTTGTTTATAGTCCACATTTGCCAAATAGCCTACCATGCACTATTGTTTCCTTTGATTAGCCCCCTTGAGCCTATGAGCCTAATTTTGTTGATTAAACCCACATATGTAACCTTCAAAATCCGATTGTATCCCTTACCCATTGTCTAAGCTAGTGGAGCACAATTTATGATATAACGGGTTATGTGAGCAATGAAATGTAAGATTGGGGGTGTGAAAGTAGGTGTTTGCTTCTTTTATACAAAAAAAAAGGAAAAAAAAAGAAATGAAATTGAGAAAAAAAAAGATGAATAAAATGTCCTCTTTATGGTGTATGTAATTGCGGGTGTCGAAAGAATTCATTATGGCATACTAAAAGGAGTAGTCGAAAGAATTCATTATGGCATACTAAAAGGAGTAGTTGGAAGAAGTTCTTTAATAGATGATGGAGTTTGTGTAGATGTCAAGATGATGGAGTTTGTGTAGATGTCATTGATCTTACTTTGAGATCAAATATTTTTCAAGTATCGCTCCACTAGTGATAGGCTTTTAACTACAATCCAAATATCTATCCTACCTTTTTACCCTAGCCCCATTACAACCAAATAAAAGACCTCATGATTTTGTTGCATACCTTAGTTTTTAAAGTGGTGGAGAATTGAGATGAAATGCAAGCTTATGGATTGAATACATCCATTCGAAAGAATTTTGAGCGATACAATCACATCCTTAAACACATGAGAGATTGAGAGTCCACTTATCCTAAAGTGAGGTCTACCAATTTAACTACCTGAAGGTCTCAATTTTAGTACTTCGGGATTGAAGCTAGTTACATGAATTTCTTTTTTCTACTTTGATTTGAGAATTGGATAGGATGAGTATCCTTGACTTGTGACGCTTGTGATCGTAAATAAATTTTGAAATGTGATTTTGTTGAGAGTTTTGGAAATTAATTTGTTAAGTCCCGATGAAAAGTATTTGTTTTGTGATATGTTTGATATTGGTTAAAGGATTGATGAGGGGGTGATCCCTACTCTATTTGGCTTCCACTCCTCCTATTTTCTTTATTGTCTATTTGCTTGAGGACAAGCAAAAGTCTAAGCTTGGGGGAGTTGATAAACACGTAAAATATGCATTATCTTAGTGTGTTTTAAGCATGATTTACGAGTGTTTAATGCATATTTCGTGTTTAGATCGAGGATACTGCTGTGGTTTGTGTTCTTATATGTAGGTATTGGCTCAAGATTGAAAGATTTGATGATCGTTGGAAGTTTTACAAGAGTTTGAAGCAACAACAAGATTTTGAAGGCATGGTTCGTGAAGAAAATGGATGCACGAGTATGAAGAACTGGAATTTCGACCATGATGCAGTTTGAATCAAGAAAAACTCAAAAGATGAAAGTTGTAGATCTCTTCAACAATCTCTTGTACAAGATTGGATTGCAAGTTTTGATTTTGAAGATCTCAATTGAAAGACGGGTTAATTCTTTTCTCTCTTTGATTTATTTCTTCTTATGATTGATTTGCATAATTATTTGATGTCTTCTCTTATTCCAATCATGTGTGAGTAGATTTCTTGTCTAGGATTGGGAAAGAACCCAACTTTTTGGTGATTGATGATGAATTGATATAGGTTCTTGGTGAAAGTTTAAATCTTTGAACTTGATTTCTAGTGTTTTAATTTTGTTGATTCGCTTGATCACCGTATTAGCAATCATAGGTAATTAATTGAAGGACTGAAAGGTGAAGATTAATACCGGATCTCTAGAAATTAAGCATGGAGCTCGAACCACGAAAGTAGGCTAGATTCCTTGGGGATTTGATTTGGGTTAGCATAAGGCTTAATGGGTTTAGCTTAATCTTAATTCCACGAAAGTAGGTTAATTGAGATTAATTAGGCACGATTTTTTGACCTTGAAAGAGGCTTTAGATTAATTTAGGCTAATTCACCCTTTCTAGATTTAACCAACACCAAGAATTGAAATAATTCATCATTGAACACCTAAGTTGTGGTGATAACTCAATCCTAGTCTTTCATTATATTGAATTCCATCCGATTAGTTGTTTATTTTATTTCTTTTATTAAATCTCTTCTAATTTACTCATTGATTTAGCTAGTTGAAAACGTGAAACTTGGTAGATAACCCCTAGTCCTTGTGGGATCGACCTTGATAGCTACAACGAGTCCGTCCGCTTGCGGATTTGCCTATCGCTACATCATATATTGCTTCCGATATGTTTCATTTGTCATGTCATATCATCATGACGTTAATGCATTAATACACGATACAAGTTGTGTAACATTAAGGGAGTGTTTGGCAACATTCTAATATCTAGGCTAGTAGAGTTTAACCTAGTTAAGGGGTTAGAATGTTGTTTGGGTAAAAATGGGCTAACTCTAAACTTGGTTTTTTTAGTTTCAATTTGAGCACTTATCCAGGATATAGGATTGATCTTACCCTTACTTGGTTCACAACTAACCTGGTTAAGGTATTAACCTAGTTTAAGGGGCAAGTAGGCAAACACACCCTAAGTTGAGTAAAACCTACAACCAATACCATTTACACCATGGTATTGGCTACTATTAATATATAATAAGTGTTATGCTCATGTTCACACGGATATGTTTGATTTCTTCGGTTTCTATATATGATTTCTTTGTTTTCTATCAGTT